CACAAAGAAAAAGAATAGGGGAATAATAATATTGTTTAGGAATGTTCATGCTAGACTTGGACACCTTTATTTATCTATGCCTGTGAATTTGCATCTGTGGAGCCCTTAGAATAGTTAGATATCATTGTGTGCTTTCAAGTTATCTCAAAACAACCCTAAGGCAAACCTATCCTGGCGTTTTATTAGTAAGATTTATTCAAGGAGGGGGAGTTGTCTTTGCCTTCCTCTGAGGCTGAGAGTGTGTGACTTGATCAAGGACACCCAGTAGGTTTCCATGGCCAAGTGGGGATTTGAATCCTAATCACCAGTCATAATCCAGTGCTCAAATCACTACATCATCTTGGCTCTCTTGAATAATCACTTACAGTCAGCCCTCCTTATCCATGGATTTTTTTATCTATGGATTCAAGCAGCCGCAGCTTGAAAATATTTTTTTAAAAAGTGTAAATTCCAAATGGCAAACCTTGATTCTCTATTTTATATAGTGTCCCTTGTATAAAATGTTTTGAGATAACTTGAAAGCACACAATGATATCTATGCCATTGTATTTAATAGGACTCAGGCATCCACGGATTTTATTATCTATGTGGGTTCCTGGAACCAAACCCCAGCAGATAAAAGGACCCATTATACTTGTCACTAATTCCATTTTCCAGTAACGAAAGCATGATGTTACACTATGGAGTCTATCAGATGGGGGGAAATTGGTAGTTTAAATAGTGATTAACCTGTCAAAATCACACAATTGAGATTAAAACGTGATTAAAACACGATTAACATTTTCACACACAAGAGCCATTAACCTGGGAATAACCAGGGAGTAATCAGGCAATAAACAGGAAAAAAAAATCATTCACGGGAAAATCCCATGAATGATTTTTGCTGTTTATTGTCTGGTTATTTGTGGGATAATGGCTTTAATCGCTTTTCACCGCGAAGTCATGTAAAAACCATTAGTGCAATTGCGCAATTATCACAGGCTATTCCCAGGATAATTGTGCTTTGAACGCAATGTTGTGTGAAAATGTTAATTGTGAATGTGCGATTTTGACTGGTTAATCACCGTTTATACTTCCAATTGTCCCCATGTGATAAACTTGTATGATTCTACATAGGATCACAGGAAATTGCCTTATGCTGAGTCAGACCATTGTATTGTTAAATCACTGGAAGAGGAAACAGTGGCGTCCTCACCCCTTGGGTCACCCGGTGCAGGGGGGCACCAAAAGGGCATGCTTGGCTCTCTCCTTTGCCACAGAGGTATAGGTCTGTAACACTCACCTTTACTGTTTCTATTATGGCAGCCCAATGGTTTTTGTTATGCCACCACTGATCACCAAATTGTAACAACTCTGCTTGCTTTTTCAAACTATTTTTTCACTTGGGGAACAGCACATGTATCTCTTTTTAAGGTATTTCCCTTGTGAATCCTAGTTTAGGTACAAAACCACTTTCATATGATACCTTTCTAGGGAATTCTAACCTAAAATAAGTCTTTAATTGTTAGTAGCATGGTTATATATTCATGTCCCATGTTTTTTCCACTAAGTAGGAGATAGATGTAAATTCCAACAAGTGACCAGTGTTCAGTGAGAGCTGTAATACCACCTAAGCTGCAGGTGCCCTGCTATCTCAGAGGAAGGCATGACACACTGGTCCATATAGCCCAATATTGTGAACCATGAGGAGCAGAGAATCTCTAGTGTTTCAGACAGGATTCTTTCCTTGCTCTTCCTGCAGATCCCTGGTATTCCCTGGTGCTTATATATGTACTAACCAGGACTAAGCCTGATTAGTCCCCATAATCAGATCAGCTGACAAAATCAGAGTGATGCAGCTGTAACTTGGTGAGGCACACAGCTTTATGCCTTTTGTGCCATAACCTGTACTATTTTAAATTGCTTTTATAGTTAGGGGGTTTGATGTCACTAAACACTAGAGGAAGAACATCCAATTGTTCGAGTGCTGGTTCATGCTATGCTGCTGTCTCCTGCTCTGTTGTGAGTCCTGAGGCAACAAGGTAAAGAAGAGGAAAATATATTTTGTACACCGGCCAGTCGTTTGAAGCATTCACATTTTTAAAATGTAACTGAAAAACAACAATGTTAGCTACTCTTGAGAAATGTAGACCTTACAATGGACCTTATAATGGAAACTATATACTTTAGTAGTTTGCTTGCAACTATAACTTCTTTGTGCAAAATACATTTCTGGCAATATATATCTATGTTGCAGTTGTTGCCACTGGTGGAAAAAACATTGATCTTTTTGCTTCTGTTTAGGGCAAGCAATCTCACAGTAGACAAGAAAACCAGCAAATAGGGTTCTTAACACTCTATTTGAGGGAGAGGTAATTACATGCACAAAGTGCTTTAAGATCATGACAATCAACAATCACTCAGTCAATATACAGTTCTATATGAGAATGCTTCCATCCATGGGACTGTGAAATGGTGAATTTGGGAGTATTTTTAAACATCAAAATCAACAGGATCTAACTTCAGAGAAAATATGTTTAGCTGTAAATTTCCCTAAAAAACTTGAAATAGTCATTACGCTTCTTTCTGAAATCCAGTATGTGGAACAAAATTATCTGAAATGCATGCATTTCTTTTACTTTATTGCATTTCTTTCTTACTTTCCCCTAAGGGGTTTTAGGGAATGTACACAGATATGGCAAAAGCAGTCAGCAGATACAATGCAAAATCAGACCAAATTATTTCAGTAAGGCTCCATGGTAAACCTATGAATATCACCATAATTCAAGTATATGCCCCAACCACAGAGGCAGAACAGGAATAAATTGATAGGTTCTATGAAGGAGTACAGGAAGAAATTGACAGCACACAAACACAAGATGTTAAGCTGATCATTGGAGATTGGAATGCAAAAGTTGGAAGCAAAGAAGATTTAAAAACAGTAAGCATATTTGGATTAAGCAAAAGAAACAAAGCAGGTGAGTGTATGATAGATTTTTGTGAAGCCAACAACCTATTCATTGCAAGCACATTTTTCATACAACCAGAAAGAAAGCTATACACATGGACATCACCTGATGGTCAATACAAAAATCAAATAATTATATAATTTGAAGTAAAAGATGGTGAAACTCTATACTAGTGGCCAAGATTAGACCAGGTACCAACTGTGGCACAGATCATGAATTACTCATATCAAAAATAAGAGTAAGACTCAAGAAAACAAAACTGGTGATTATACCAAAATATGATCTAAATAATATCTCAACAGAATTTACTGACAACATAAAAAACAGATTCTAGTACTAAGCATAATAGACCAAGAACCAGAGAAACTATGGTCTGAAGCCAAGGAATGCAGACAGACACTTTCAATAAGGAAAAAGAAAGAGAAAACACCATGGGTTACAAACAAAACACCACAAGCAATAAAGAAAAGAAGAGAAAACAAAAACAAAAGAGAGATAGGAACAAACTAAGAATTATGATTGCAACACTACAATGGCTTGTGCGGAAAGATAAAGAAAATTATTACAACGACTAATGCAGAGAAATAGAAGACAACAACAAAAAATGAAGAACAAGAGATCTATTTTACAAGATCTGGGAAATCAAAGGAAAATTCAAACCAAGGAATGGGATGCTTTAAGACAATAAAAATAACCAATTCAAGACCAGGAAAGAATAAAAAGACATTGGATGGAATACATAGAAGAACTGTACAAAAGAGATGACAAAATGAAGGACACATGAAATGAAGAGCCATATGAAGATGAACCCCAAATTCTAAAAAGCGAGGTGGAAACTGCAATAAGAGAAATAGTGAAAAACAAATCACCAGGAACAGATGATATTCCAACTGAACTGCTGCAATCCACATTGACAGAGTAAACTCTAGTGCTAACCAACATATGTCAACATACATGAAAAACAAAATGATGGGCAGCAGATTGGAAGCGATCAATATACATCCCCATCCACAGAAAGGGAGACACAAGACACTCTGGCAATTATAAGACCATAGCACTGATCTCCTACACAAGCAAAATCATGCTCAAAATTCTGCAACAGAAATGCCAACCATACATGGAGAGAGAAATCCCAGAGGTTCAAGCGGGGTT